TTTAAGCCTCTCTGGCTTTAATTCTAATTTAACTTGCCATTCCAATGGGGACTATTGTGCAATTGAAGGCATGATTCACTTATTTGTTCTCTGTAAATCTAATTACTACAGTGTGGTGCCCCTGAGGCCCCCTCAGGCTTTAATTCACTGCTGTAAATGGTCTACCCTTCTGGGGAAGGGAGTGGGCCTTTAGTCATTGTTCTTCGGAACTGTACAAATGTGATTAGTACAGTGTTTGGGAGCACACTAACAACTATTTTACCTCAGCTTCTTTCATCATAGTAGATTTATTGCTGGCGTCTGTTGGAAGAATACTGCCGGGGCATATGCAATAAATAGTGACTTGCACATTTCCATTCCACAGAACAAGGCCAGTGTTTGAAGCACGGAAGTCATGCTGCATATGTTTGAGGATACCCCATATGTCTTCTAAAGAAAAGGCACATTGATTAGAAAGCACAGGAAGGGCAAAGTAGAAATGTTGTTGTTATTAGGTACTGTCAAGTCGGTTCTAACTCATAGTGACCCTACAGACAACAGAGCGAAACACTGCCCGGTCCTGCATCATCCTCACAATTGTTATGCCTGAGCCCATTGTTGCAGCCACTGTGTAAATGTAGCTGTCTGTTTCCAAATGCCCATGCTTATGGGTGGCAGCAGAGTGAAATGGGGCAGGATAATATTTCTGAGGTAAAGATCATTACTTCACCCTTTCCTACTTATCTAGATGCTTGCTAGGATCAAAGGGAAAATTTTGATTATTAATTTTTATTTCACCAGCATCCTACATCTGTTCTAAGAGATCTCAGCGACTCCATCTGAGAATTTTAATTGTAAGCAGTGCTCTCTCCTGAACTCGGGAGCACTGAGGCACTTACACACATGTGGTTTTAATGGTTACTCAGCTTCCTGATATTCAGTATTCAGTAGCCACTTTGTATAGCGTTTAAAATATGAAACTTAGGGAACTGGAGGTGGGAGTGAGGAATTGAGTACCCATTATCTGAAGATGTACAATCAAAGGATCCTAGAAAGGATTAATTAACCAATTAAGGATTAATTAGGCTCAAAATTAGGGGGAACCAGTTGCTGTCAAACTGATCACAACTCATGGAGACCCCATGTGTGTCACAGCAGCACCTTGCTCCACAGGGTTTTCAGTGGCTAATTATTCGGAAGTAGATCACCAGGCTTTTCTTCCCAGGCGCCTTATGGTGGACTCGAATCCAAACTTTCAGTTAGTAGACTAGTGTGTTTATACTACCCAGGGATTTCAAAGTTAGGAGTACTTTCCTTTTAATACTCATTCATTCATTCATTCTGTTTAACAAACATTTCTTAAATGTCTACTATGTCCTATGCTCTAGAGATACAAAGCTACTTGGTGCCAGCAACTTGACTGTCATTTTTCCAGCCATGCACTTGGCTTGGTCAAACCCTCAACCCAGGGTAGCCGTCCCCCTGCAGCGCCCACCAAGTAGGGAATCATGCTGTGGACGTCAGCACAACAGAAGCCCTCCTTGAAATTGGATTGTCCTCTCTTGTTGCTGTGTTCTTTAAGTTCTCCTATACTTTTGGACCCCATTTACCCCCGCTCCACTTACTTCCCTGCCTTTCGAAAAACAGATCAAATAAGTAACACTGAAAGGTAGATCCTAGCCAAGGGTTCTTTGATGTCATCTGGGGATATTTCTGCCGTTTAAAAATGGGAACCAAGGAAAAATTTCACCTACTGAGCGTCACTTGAAGACAGTTTTGCTGGGTTCAGCTATTTATTGCACATAGGACAAGATACCTTTAGGTGATTGTTCTTTATAATTGTCCGGAAATATTTTGACTTTAGAACGGGGAAAAACCAGGGTATAAGGTTTTGCAGTGTTAAGGCCATCCACTTAACGTCTTCATTTTGATGTAAATTTGGACTCTTAGCTGTCTGTTTCAGACTGTTCTGTAGCCTTTGCATTTGTTTCTATGACTGCCATATAGTGAAGTGGTTGATGGACTGTAGAGCTGCATTAGCTCATTGGCCCCTTGAGGATCATTTAATAGTTACTTGGTTTGGACTTAAGATTTTTTTTTCACTTTTCTTGGTATACACAAATATACAGGAAGATAAACAGCTAAAAGTCAGGTGCAGGCGAACAGTATGTATGTGTTTCTGCATAGTTACATTTAAAAAAGACTTCCATATATTAATATGTAGAAATTGTACAAAATAAAGTGTTCTTATTATAAACGTCAAGTTTTAGTCTGAAGAAGGAAACAAATACCTTATCATTTTCTCCATTTTAGAAGATATCAAACATTGTCCAAAACAATGGCTTATATTTTTCAGGTCTCAAGTGCTGAGACCCATATTTATTTTTATGACTGGAAATGTAAGAAATGAATTACCGTTGCTGTGTTATCACGCACACAATCTTATTCATTGACGGGAATCACGCCCCTCTGCCAGAACATACCTTGTCAGGAGTACCTAAAACTGTTTTTACGAGAGAAGGCCAATCACACTATTTTGACTCTTTTCACAGTAGGTTCCAATCCCTGCAGCTGAGTCAATTATGTGGAAAACCACAAATCCACATTAATTGATCAGAAGGCTGAAAAAAATAATTTAGCCATACCATAGATTCTACTAACATAGATTTTGCATAAAACTGGTTATGACACAGGTAGATAAACAACATTTATGTTTTTTTGTTGTTGTTTTTTGTTGTAGTTTAAGTGAAAGTTTACATTTCAAGTTAGTCCCTCATACAAAAATTTACACACACACTGCTATGTGACCCTAATTGCTCTCCCCACACTGTGACAGCACACCCCTCCCCTCTACCCTCGATTTCCCATGTCCACTCAACCAGCCCCTAACCCCCTCTGCCTTCTCATCTCACCTCTGGACAGAAGCTGCCCGTTAGGTCTCATGTATCTACTTGCTCCAAGAAGCACACTCCTCACGAGTATCATTTCATGTCCCACAGTCCAGTCCAATCTTTGTCCAAAGAGTTGGCCTCAGAAATTGTTTCAGTTCTGAGCTGATAGAGAATCTGGGAGCATTTATGTTTTAATCTTACCTAATAACTTACTTATAAAGCTTTGGTTGCTGAATCCATTATTTGTACAAGAGTAAAAATACCTTCAAAACTTAAAAGACACGTGAAGAAGGAGACATTCAAAAAGAAGTTCATTGGAACAATGTAATAGGAAATATTGGAAATCATCTAAATGTTCATCACTTGGGAAATAAATTTTAAAACTCTGAGATGCATATTTATTGGGCTACTGTAGTATTTCATCTAAATTAGGAGTCGACAAACTATAATCTACGGGCCAGATACAGCCCACTGCCTGTTTTTGTGAATAAAGTTCTTTTGGAACACAACCATGCTCACTTGTGTACATACTGTCTGTAGGTGCTTTAATACTACGGTGGCAGAGCTGATTAGTTACTAAAGAGGCTGTATGGTCCTCAAAACCTAAATAAAATATTCATTAGCTAGCCCTTTACAGAAAAAGTTGCCAACCCAGGACCTAAGATAAAATCTTCTCTATTGTAATATGCACCATTATTTTATGTACCACTAATAAAGAAAAAGATTATACTAATTAAACTATGACAAGCCATCAGTTGTAGGAAGCATCCTGATTGAAGAAGTGTTAAAACGTGAAGGAAAAAAAAGTACATATTCGAATTGATGAAATGTAGGATACAGCACTTCAAATGAATGAACTACAGCAGTTTGTATCAACATAGCTAGATCTCAGATGCTTAGTGCTGAGTAAAAAGAAGGTGTAGAACAATTTGTAGAATAATGCAAATACTATGATATGTGACTTTAAAAAACCCACGAAACATTATGAATACCTGTGAATATGAAAATATATGTATAAACATTTTTAAAGAATTGGAAGGATCTAAAGGAAACTGGAAGGAGGAAAAGGATCAAGATGATGGTGAAGACAAGGGAATTTATCTGTAATCTTCAATTTCTTTAAAAGAGGTGATTTATTAATAAATGAATTAAATTTCCTTAGAAGCATTAAATCATGGAAAAACTAGAAGAAAGTATGTCAAATTATTAACAATGACAAATTTTTGATAATAGGAATGTGGATGATCCATGTTTTCATTGTATTTCACAATAATTTTAAAGAGCCACATGGATAACAAAAGGAAAAAAAAAAAGATGAGTCATATTTCTGTCTCAATCAGAAGAAACTAAGATTTGAAGAAGTACATGTTAATCAATTACCTGACATTACCGGCTAACCCTGTTTTTCTACTAGAGCATTAAAATAAACAACGGACAAGTCAGGGCCAAATTTCATAGTTAAAACTATTTTTTTTCTTAACGATGGTACAGCTAATCTTTTAAAACATGCACTTTATTCCTTACCATGAAAAACCATCAGCTGGAAAAGTTAAATGTCGGGTACAATTTCCTGAATAGAAATAGCTTGTCATGTGTCATGTTATTGATGTACTGATATCATTTCTTTCAGCCTGACCTCACTGGTTTTGAAAAATACCTTGTGATTTTACGATGTTTTGTATATTGTTGCATGTAGTTCAAACAAACATGTTACTTATTAAATGCGTTTATTTTCTTATTTTTCCATAGCAGGACTTCCTAAAATGTTCTCTGTAAGTGTATTCAAAAACTCAAAATTACAAGGTATAAATCCAACACCCACCAGATTGTTTTTTCTGATAATGGGGATTTACTCACCTCACATTGCTTTCATTTAGTTTTTTGGGTTTTTGTTTTAACTAATCTTTCTCTACCTGGGAGTATTTCACCAGAAATGATAAGCCATGTGGCTTGCCTTCAAGATTGAGAAATGAGATATGTCAGAGAAAGTGACCACAGAAAATACAGACATGGTGGCCTTGAGTCTGTGTGAAACTACGGAGTGTAAGATTAAGTTCTCCTGCCACTAGGACCAAAATGGAGTGATGTATTTCTCATCACTGAACTCCATCTTTTTTTTTCTTTTTTCAGTTCAATTTCACCATTTAGTATTGAGAGCACAAGACGCCAGAGACGGTCTGAATCCCCAGACTCCAGAAAACGGCGTATCCACAGATGTGACTTTGAGGGATGCAACAAAGTGTACACAAAAAGTTCTCATCTGAAGGCTCATCGGAGGACACATACAGGTACATCTCTGCTAGGCTTTTCACCTGTGGGTCAGTAAGAGTCCAAAAGGGGCCTGGTGCTTGACTCTGGAGCCGTGCTCTGTGGTGGTGGCACCTACATTACACATGTCTAGAGTTTAGTTTATTTCTTCTGGGCAGAATGCATTTTCTCTCTCCCCATCCAAAAAGGCTGTCTTAGTGAACTTTAGAAACCAATGAGATATTTCTTATGTTTCATTGGTGTGAAGAGAATGATTTAGTTTTATCACAATCAGAGTTAACATTTAGTCATTACGTCATTTATCAGGTTCAAAAATGTCCTTGTGGCACATCAACCAAAAAGCAGAAACAAATTATTTTCCTCTCTTAAAGTTAACCTATACGACTGGTGGCACAGTGGTTAAGAGCTTGGCTGCTAACCAAAAGGTCAGCAGTTCAAATCTACCAGCCGCTCCTTGGAAACCCTGTGGGGCAGGTCTACTCTGCTGTGTAGGGTCACTATGAGTCGGAATCGACTCAACGGCAGTGGGTCTTAAAGTTAACATTTTAGCCAGCCCCCATCCTTAAATCGTGTTTTTTCTCCCTCTATATCCTCTCCCCAAATGTGTTAAAACCAAACAAATAACAACAACAACAAAAAATACATATACGTAGCACTTTGGGCAGTTTTACAAACATTTCCACATAATTCCATTTGATTTTCACTGATTCATTTTTTATGTAGGGAAAGAGTTTTTTAGTATTCACAGTTACAGAGAAGAAAATTAAGACCACCAGCGATTCACTGACCATCCACCCATCCATCCATCCAGGAAGTGACTTAGTGATTCTTCACTTGGTCCCCTACTCACCTTCATCTATCCCCTGCCTTTGGCTGTCCCTCGGCCAACATCACCTAGCTCTTGTTGCTTCTGGATCCTTTTGGGTGCCACCAGTGGGAGGCACTGGCAAGAGACTAAGGTGGGAAGAGGACCTCACAACTACTAAGTTTTCTAAGAAAAGTGACTGGTGACTGGAATGTGTGAAGCTCAAAGAAGCATATAAAACAGGGAAACTCATTTACACACATCCCTGGTAGCAGCATGCCAAAGAGTGAACAGGCTTTCGTAGGAACTAAGTTTTAGCACTTACCTCAAACTTGAAACTGCAAGGGCAACAGACTCTCATACGCTGTGTAAATAGTATTCCCCTCTCACATGTGTTCAAATGACCACACTATGTGAACTGTTCTTCAGCACAGGTAGCAAAAGAATTTAAATCACCATCGTCCCCATTTAGTTAGCCCACATTATTATTGCAGAGTGTTATCAAAGTCTTTCATGACTCTAAACTATGAGGCTGGAATCATTTTCTGCACTGAAATTATGGGCCAGGAGATTTGCCTGATGTCAGAAAAGCATTATAAAATCTGGAGTTTACTTTTGCTCATCTGAAACTTTATACTTTTAGTGTTTCTAAGATAGTTAATTCGACACACTTTTCAAACTGTCTCTTCCATTTTTCCTCCCTGCTCCCAATGCTTTTCTCTTTTCTACTTAATTCCAGATTCTTCCCTCCCAATGGTTTTGAGCTTCCCTACAAAAGATTTTCACTTGTTTCTTAGGCACTGCTTTTTAATCAATTTCTTTATCATTAAGGCAAAGACTGAATTTAGAGAAGACATGGAAGTAGGATAAGCACATTCCATCCTATCAGTATGTAACCTGTTGCCATCGAGTCGATTCTGACTCATAGCAACCCTGTAGGACAGAGTAGAACTGCTCTACAGGGTTTCCAAGGCTGTAAATCTTTACAGACACTGACTGCCACATCTTTCTCCTGCAGAGCAGCTGGTGGATTCAAACCGCTGACCTTTTAGTTAGCAGCCAAGTGCTTAACCACTGCACCACCAGGGCTCCCTTGAATGCTAAAGTGGAATGAATTAGTTTCGCTTATTAATGAATGAAATCACAGACTTGTAGGATCAGAATGGACTTTCTATGTCACAGAGGCTAGTTTCTTTCCTAATTAGGGGAACCCCTTGTGTGTCATCTCTCACAGAGAGTACATCAGTGCTGTGCACTTTACTGCACACATATTTTCTTTTCTTTTTTCTTCGGTCCTCACAGCAACCTGGTGGTTGCAGACATTGTCATCTCCTTTTTACAAGTGTGACGCCTGCTCTGGTATTGTTCCCACAGCAGTGATTTTCCCACCCCTCCTTAAACATTTCAATTTGAGTGACAGCTTATTCCGCAAGACAAAGTGGATGAAGTCTGTGAGGGCAGAGTCCTTGTCTCTTATGGTGTTGGATTGTCTCTTCTGGCGTTGTTTGGTGCTCAGTACATTCTGTTTGAATGGGCCGGCTCTAATTATCACACTGGCTAAAAGTGGCCTCTCTATGATTTTCACTCATTGGTCTTGGTGTTCTTCACAATGCTGTCATGAGCTGCTGACATCTTCATTTCTCCAACTCAGACATCCTCACTTCTCTCAGCCATGTCTTTCTATGTACTCTCTAATTTATGGACTGTGTGTTTTAAAGTTTTCATACCAAAATTTGAGGGAAGAGATCTTGGTAATGAATTTCTCTTAATTTATGCAAAGATTATGGTAAGTATCTCTGTTAGGTTATTTAAATCAGGAGCTGCTGACAACAAGATTTTGTCCATCCCATGTACTTATAACTGATTTATTTTAAATTGAAATATATAATGTTATATTCCTGCTTGGAGCTGTCCCTCAGATGATGGTTTCCGTTCAGTAGTAGTACATTCTTTATCCCCGAAAGTGTTTAAGCACAGGCTGGATAATCTTCTGTTGCATAGAAGAATTATTCTGAGAGTTGGATGTATACGTTCAAGCCGGGAAATTATTATTCTAAATCTATCTAACTGATTTGGACTCATTATTCCAATTAATTGAATCCACTTTGATAGCTCTCCCTGTCCCCTTGCTTTTAGTATTTTAACTCTGTCCTTCAGCTTCTCCATCTTTGCCAGGTAATTGATGACCGTATGGAGTAGGACAGGTTCCAAGGAAAAAGCCCTGAGGCATGATCCTAGAAACTTCCTTTGGGGTTGGTTTTACTTCTTTAACCAATAGCTGAGAATCCACCTAATTGTTCTACCTCCAACCCACATTTCTCTCCCATGCTGTTGTTAGTTGCCATTGAGTTGATTCCGGCTTACGGCAACCTAATGTGTGCAGAGTAGAACTGTTGCTCCATAGGGCTTTCAAGGCTATGACTTTTCAGAAGCAAATCACTAGACCTGTCTTCTGAGGTGCCTCTGGGTGAGTTCAGATCTCCAGCCTTTTTGTTAGTGGTCAAGCATTGAACCATTTGCACCATCCAGGGACTCCATTCTCTATTTCATAAAACCCACTGCCATCGAGTTGATTCTGACTCATAGCGACCCTACAGGACAGAGTAGAACTACCCCATAGGGTTTCTAAGGCTGTAAATCTTTATGGAGGCAGACTGCCACATCTCATAGATACATAAAAAAGACTTTGTCAAATTCCTGCCTGAGTATGCCAAATCCATTCATTCAGCGGAGAGATGCTTACTCCGTGCAAGGCAGAGCCCCCTGAACTGTCAACCTAATGACACTATTTAAAAAGAAAAAGAATGAAATTTAGTTGCTTTACTACAGTTGGTTCAAAGTGAGTCCATCCTGGCTTCTGATTTGTAATTATATGTGGGATTTCATAACATACCATGCAAAACTAAACAACACCAGTTCTATAGGGATTCAAGTTGGCTTGCATTGCTTTTAATGAATATCTTCTTAGTCTTACCTTTGTTTCAGGCATATTGAGTAAGCTATTTGTGTGTGACCAAGAATAGTTCATGTGGAGTTTGGGATTATAACCGATGACTTATGAGAACCATGCACGCTATGGGTTATGAGCAAGTAGCACTGAGAAACTTTCTTTGAGAAAGTCACATTAATTTTGCCATTTACTACTTGATCTCTTTGTGCTTTTTTAGTACTTTATAAGTCTTATGTTTATTTAGGGCTTATACAGTAAATTACACATATTTGTAGGAATGTGAAAGAAGAACATTTTCTAGATAATATCTAGGAATTTAAAGTAAAAAACAATGCTGAAGAGTGCTTTTTTAAAATTTAAAATAATCAAATGTATTTTTACGAATGTGCAGTTTAGATAATAACATAAATATTTGACCAAATATTTTTAAGTGACTTAATTAATTCCTGACTATGATATTTATAGGGTCACTGAGTTGAAATCAGCTCAACGGCAACGGGTTTGTTTTGTTTTTGTTTTGTCTTGATGATAAATCTGTTTAGACTCTTCATTGAAAAGGAGGAAAAAATATATGTCAGCAATCGTATGTACATTATTGTCAGTAGTTACATTGTTCACGTTCACTGGTCTAAAGTGTGTGATCAAATGAATATTTAAATTAATATAGTTATTTAAATCTGTGTTATACCTAGCTATGAATTTCCCTCAATTCATTTTAAGAATTCTTTTGCTTATTAAATGATTTAAATTTTAATTTTAGAATAAAATAGTTTTATGAATTCAGTATTGGTGTTTGGAATTCTTAATGGTTTTAAAACTGTATGCCATAGTAATTTCTAACACTCGGCCATCAGTAATTCCTACAGCCGCTAGATGGTGCACTAGAACTAGATGTTATGTCTAAGAAGAGCGTGTAGAACAGATAAAACTACAATCTTCTAGTAGTATGTACTACATGACTTAAAACTGGAATATGATTATCAGTTCTGCAGAATATTACAATTTAATAAAGAAGAAAAAGGCAAGATGAATTTAAAACCAGATTTTTCAAAAAAGTTATTGCAACATATAAAAATATTTGGTTCCAAATGAATCTGGAAATATTCTGTATTCCAAATTGATAACCTGCCCTCTAAGGATTCTGTGAAGCTCATTTAGACAATCTTGTCTATTATTCATTTTAATTCATACACCTGTAGATCGAGAAAATTAGTAAACTTAAGGCAGTCACATTTTTTATCTATCTGGCTTTGCCAAAACTAATT